TGACAGATCAGACAGACTGACAGAATATGATTGATAGATCAGATTGATAGATCAGACAGACTGACAGATAGAATGTGATTGATAGATATGATGATAGACAATAGATGGATAAAGATGACATGATAGATATGTGTGAGTGTGTGTACATGCATATATTTCCTAATTCTGTCTACTACACAGTTTAGAAGTTATAACACCCTAATAACAATGAGCACACCTAGCACCCGGTGCTTGGTATCTAAAGGCCATTTTCCACTCAAAGGAACCAGAGCTCCTTGGAGAAATGTCTAACTTCAGAGCTGAGGCAGAGAAAATACAAGATGAGCCCGGGAAATCTTGTTAAACAAGAAAGTAAAATGCTCAGAGAATGATGGGGACATGTCAGAAGGACACACCAAAAACAGTTTGAAGGATCCCAAATAGTTAAATATGAAGCAATTTAAGGTCAACAGATGCTAAAAGTGGTAAGTGAAAGTTTAACAGAAACAAGATACAGTCAATCCTCATTATTTACAGATTTAGTATTTTCAAATTTGCCCACTTGCTACAATTTATGTGTAACCCCCAAATCAATACTCACAGGGGGTAGCCATTCAAGGACTTGCACCAAGTGGCAAAAAAATTTAAGTTGTAGGACACACACTTTCTTGGCTAAGATTTCATGAGGCATCTCACACTGTCTTCCTTTGTCAGCTTTCATGCTGCAAGTAAGTGTCCTTTTCACAAGACACTGTCATATTTTTAGCATTTTTGTGTTTTCAGTGATTTCCCTGTTTCAAATGGCCCTCAGATATAGTGCTGAAATGCTGTCTAGCTTTCCTAAGAGGCTGTGATGTGCCATGTAGAGAAAATGCATGTTAGATACACTTCCTTCAGGCAGGAGCCATACTGCTAGTTGGCCATAGGTTCAATGTTAATGAACAAACAATATATATTGAATAAAGAGTCTTAAAACAGAAACATACATAAAACAAGGTTATGTGTTGATTGGTTGATGATTATGTTGTGACAGGAATCCAATCCTGTGTCTTCCCTAGAGCAATGCTTCTGTATTCGCTAACTCAATGTTCATGTGACTTTATAGAACACAACTACCCACAAATGAGAATCAACTGGATTTGCATGGCTTCAAAGTACTTCCCCATAAAACACTTATAAATTACTTATGGATTTAGAACTGCAATATATTTATTAACTTTAGAGTACAAAAACCTGGTAGATACAATCTTCAAGAGATAAAAGTTCACAGGGATATTAGCATTATATAGCTTCTGTTACAAGGCACTGGACTATAGCCTCATTTCAGTGGTATGCCCACCAAGTGCATAAATCAGGAGGCGACATCATCAAACCCAAACTGAGGGACATTCTATAAAGTTATCAGCTTATACTTTTTAAAAGGGTCAAGATCATAAAAATAAGGAAATACGAGAAACTGATCCAGATTGAAGAAGACTAAAATACACCCCAACGAAATACAACATGTGGTCTGTGAATTGAATTTGGACATAAAGGGCATTGTTGAAATCACTGATGAAGTTTGAATTGGGCTTGTGGTCTAGAAGGTTGCACTGGATCAATGCTAATTTCCGGGTTTGGATGGCTGCCCTGTGGTCACGTAGGACAATGTCCTTGTACCTAGGAAACAACACTGAAGGAGGATAGGGCAGCAGAGCATCATGTCTGTGACTTCTCAGGAGGGTCAGAAACATTAACAACTGGAGAACTGAAGTACAGGGTACACAGGAGCTCTGTGTGCTGTGTCTGTGGCTTTTACGTAAATTCAAAATAATTCCAAAAACACAAAGTTTTAAAAATCTAAGATAAATCCATACAGTGGCAGTCAAATATCTAAATTTATGCTGCAGAATATATTTTAGATAAGTTTCTTCATGTCATTTATAACTGTCAT